CCCCCCCCCCAAAAAAAAAAAGGAATAAAGGAAAAAAGAAAAAAGAAAAAAAAATCAGCAAGCAACAAAAACATCAAAACAAACTATAATAATTATTGAAGGTAAAATAGACAGTTGAAAAAGGGAAACAAATACTGTATTAAAAGGAAAACCTTCAGAGTCAAGATAGAGCAGCAGGATCCTTCCTGCTGTCCATTTAAGGGAGGTGATCTTTTTAATATCCAGTGTTTCATTGGTGGATCTCTCGGCTGGCTGCCCTGGGTCTAGTTGCATGAAACCTAGGCTAGTGAGGCCTCAAGAATTTTGTTTTGACTCTGGGTTTTAGCGAATGGTCCATGGATAGGGTTTCCTTCGAGGTGGTGTACCTAGGAATCATCAAAAGCCAGAGTTAAGATTTCTATACTGCCCCATACATATGTTATATTACATTGCTAGCCTCGCTTTGGTGCAAATAGACTACGGCCGGCCGAGAGTTCCACCATATTTTGCATCGATTGTAGAGTTGCCTGTTATTGCTGAGGAGAGAGAGCCTCCCTATTCAACTGTCCACTGAATTTAATACCTTAATGTCTTTTGATCAATCGAGTTTCACCTAATAATACATAGCATATTTTGGTTTCATGTGACTCCTAACGGGTTCGAAATTTGGAAACAACGTAACTAAATTTAATTGTATCTGGACGTACTTTAATACTGTAGTTTACCGCGAAATATACCCTGCTGTTTATTTACCATTTTTTTTGTTCTTTTTCTTTCTTTCACTCTGTCTCTCTCTCTTTATTTCTTTCTTTCTTTTTGCTTTCTCTCTTTGTCCTTTTTTTCCCGTCGTTGTTGTTGTTGTTTTTCAGATTAACTTTTCGCCTATCTTTTAGATAAGAGTGTGAGAACGTGCAGTGCGTTTTTTACATACGTCTCATTGGATGCTGATGGACTGGTCAAAGACATTCCTCCTCTTGAACTACATACAGATGAAGAACGAAAGCGGTTTGAGGCTGGAAAGAAAAGATACCTACACCGCATAGAAAGTAGGACTAGTTGCAGGTGAATAGTCCATTGAACTTTATGAGTAAACCTGCTTTGTTTGCCTCTGGCTTCAGCAAAGCGAAGAATAAGAAACAGTTCGGTCCTTTTGCGTGAGTACAGCTAATATAAATTATACAGCATGCTGCAACAGAGGATTTTTCCCTCGCCCCCGGAGCCCGCCAGATAGCTGGCTAGCTCGCAGGCTCAGTGATGTTTTTTTTTTTTTCGGCTTAACAGCATAATGTTTTATATAGTAACGGTAGTCATGGTGGATTTGTAGTCGTTTTTGTGTCGTATTTGAGGTTTCATTTGAATCAAGGTCAAACGAAACACGTTTTATTTTTAGGTTAAGCGTTAAAGCTGTAAACGTAAGACTGAGAGAGATGCATAGTTTAAGACTAAAACTATAAAGCATTTCAAGCACGTTGGTATTAATTTTGATTATTTGTGCGAGGTCTTTGCGTAATTGTTGGTGGTGGCGTTTCCAGGGATTTCCGTGTCCTCAACTTGACTCGCTACCAAACAGACCATCGCCTCGTGCGCACTTCGACCTGGTGTAAGCTTGAGCCCATGAAAGGGTGGCAAATGAACGTCTGTCGACACCAACCAAGTTTTGGTAATGGTGATGATAACACTGCGTGATGTGAGCCTGATTCTTAAGGGATATGATATCGCCAGAAATCTCTCAGCGCTAAAAAAAAAACAGGGTTAAAGTTGAAACTTTGATGGATACTAGATGGAGAACTGGGACTATTTCGCTTAAGGCGTTACCTTACGTTCCTTCGATTAACCAATTATAGCTTCTTATGACGGCTGATACTATTTGTGGCATGTATATGCAATTGTGATTGTTAAATCAGCCGCTGCCACATTGGCTTTAAGGTAATTGCTGCCGGGCATCAGCCGGCAGCAGACCTTATTCTTGAGCGATTTGAGATTTTTTGTTTAATGGTTCCATGGTTCGATGGTTCAATCAATCTGTGACTTCAGCACTGTGCAGTCAGCGGTTTGCTTAAGCAAGTGCTTATCTGCCGCGCCTGTTTTTCTCTTAGGAGCAACCCGCCATTTTGCTTGGCTCTCAAGTAAGATCTGTGCAGAAATCGTAGTTCATCGGATGTTTGCTGTCTTTTTAAACGGCCTAAACAGTAAGAACAGTTCAAGAAGTATTGTATGGAACATTTTTTCGGTTTATTTTTTTATTCTAGGTTTCAAGATTTGTTATAGCGAGTATTCTTTTGTCACACAGATTTTTGTCTCGGGAATCAGGATTATAAGTTACATAAGTGACGGCATGTGCCGTACATCTGCCTGACCTGTGAATAAACAAGTTTTGGCCTTTACGTTATTTGTTCGCAACTCATCTTATCCTGTGTACGATGATTGTTCGATGAAGAAACAGCCTATCAGCACTGCTGTTGTTTTTGAATTTCGAGAATTATTGAAATGAATTACAAAATCGTATTGAAACCTGGGCGAGTTATCTAAATGTAAGCATATTTGTCATCGTGATCGGTTCTTTTCTTATATTACGCTCTGAGTGTTTCATAATTCCAACAAGTCTAAGTTATTGACTGTAATAAAAAGAATTCATATGTTCAACTGTTCTACAAACTGTCTTTGTCCTATTCGCATCGCAACTAACGGCAGCACTTCCTTCTCAATGAGAACTTCTAGTCGACTAGTTTCCTCATATTTCATTCCGTCCACAACGCACCAATGGCTAGCGAGTTACCCGTAAGTGAGACAAGCATATTGTTATAATAGTGTTTGCTATAAACCGGCTTGATAGTTGGTTGATCGTACCGAAAGCGAGTTGTAAATGGTGCTCTTTGAGTGTTAATTCAGGAATTGGTTCTTTAATTTTTGCTCATACTTTCTTCTGATCACCAATAATGCAGCGATTGAATTGTGTTTTCCTTTGATATCTATAGCAGAAGAGTAACATTTTTGGTTTTTTGAAAATTTAAAAAACCTATCTTAAATAGAGAGTTAGTTCGGTACGGGTAAGAAATTGTTTTTAACATGTTGAGGGATGTTGTGGCCTCGCCCACATTTATTCGTATTTATTTAAAAACTTTTTTTTTTTCCTTTCGATGAAATGGCCTTTCTTTCGCCCAGACTTACCTGGTAATTAAAGATCACCGGAAAGCATTTTTTTTAAGCAACGCTCTTGGGGAGGAGATGGCGATTTTTTAAAACGCCGTCTAGTGTGGACCGATGAACAGATGAAAACGGAAAATTTCTTGCCAGATAAGAATCGCTCACTGCCACCTTATTTTTTTAAGACTTTTAGCTTCGAAAGTTTTTTTTTTTTTAAATTCTTTGAGGTAAACTGATGTTGAAGCTTGCTTTTTCAGCANAATGAATTACAAAATCGTATTGAAACCTGGGCGAGTTATCTAAATGTAAGCATATTTGTCATCGTGATCGGTTCTTTTCTTATATTACGCTCTGAGTGTTTCATAATTCCAACAAGTCTAAGTTATTGACTGTAATAAAAAGAATTCATATGTTCAACTGTTCTACAAACTGTCTTTGTCCTATTCGCATCGCAACTAACGGCAGCACTTCCTTCTCAATGAGAACTTCTAGTCGACTAGTTTCCTCATATTTCATTCCGTCCACAACGCACCAATGGCTAGCGAGTTACCCGTAAGTGAGACAAGCATATTGTTATAATAGTGTTTGCTATAAACCGGCTTGATAGTTGGTTGATCGTACCGAAAGCGAGTTGTAAATGGTGCTCTTTGAGTGTTAATTCAGGAATTGGTTCTTTAATTTTTGCTCATACTTTCTTCTGATCACCAATAATGCAGCGATTGAATTGTGTTTTCCTTTGATATCTATAGCAGAAGAGTAACATTTTTGGTTTTTTGAAAATTTAAAAAACCTATCTTAAATAGAGAGTTAGTTCGGTACGGGTAAGAAATTGTTTTTAACATGTTGAGGGATGTTGTGGCCTCGCCC